TTCCCATCTGTGGCTCTCACATGATGGTTCTTGTGAAGGTTTTCCCTCTGAGCCTGCTCTCTTTTCCTCTCCATCTCCATCCCTCTGCTCAACCACATTGGCCTCTGGGGCTCTTCTAACAGGCAGGACCTGACCCTGCTCACAAGTTGTACATGCCGCTGCCTCGGCCTGGAAGCCTGTCCTCCCCGCAGCTCTGCCTAGAGACCTCCTTGGCACCCTGGCAGAAACTGCTCCTTTGCCACCACCCTGGATGCCACTCAGCCTGTGTTTTTCTCTCTTCACGGCCACCAGCTCCCACTCCCAGCCTCTTGCAGCAGAAGGGGGAGGCTTTGTTTCATTCACTGTTGTTTCCCAGCCAAGGCACTTGACTAAGGCCACCCGGAGTTAGCAAGCCCAAAGAAGCTCATGCCAGACCTCTGTGCTTCCATGGCCTATGCATACCCTTGGCAGCTCAGAAGGGGAGCCCTGTCTCTCTAGCCATCTGGTGGCCAAGTTGGTTCTAAGCATACCTGCTCCCCAGTCAGTCAGACAGCAAGGCCTGTGCTTCACAACTATACAAACAGGCTGCACACAGCCTTCCTCCTATACAGAAGACTCTGGAGAAAGGCACTAGATTCCATGGGCCTTTTTCTCTAGCACCCTGGAGCTGACAGGCAATGGGAAACCAGGCCTAGCCTTGGCAAAGTCTTGCAGGGGCTCAAAGCCTAGTGCCAGGTCTCTGCCAGCTTCCCTCCCCCCAAACAGCCTCCAATTGTCCCAGTAGCTCCCAAGTTCCCTGAAGTCCTTCCAGAAGCCACTCTCTCATGGGGACACTCACTCTCAAAGGGACCCCAGGAAGGCTGCTTCCTGCTGGACGGGCATGGTGGTCCTAGCCTCATAGGAGTCCCAGGATTTCCACAACCCACTGAGAACTCACAGCCCAGAGCTTGGCAAGGACAGAGAGCCAGAGCAGGCCACTGCTCTTGGCATTTGTATGCAGGTGCTGACCCCAAACAAGAGCTAGACTCCATCAGCGCAAAATAAAGCCCTCACTGAAAGCAACCCGGAGAAGACAAATCCAGGCAAAGGGAACTGCCTGCACCCTCTGACTGGTAGAGAATTCTCCATTCTCAGGCCACACCCAAGTCATCATCTGTAGGGGTTCCTCGGATAGGCTCCTCAGGGCTCAGATTGCTATGGCAAAGATCCACTTATCACCCATAGCAGTGCTCTAAACCCAGTGGTAGAGCATCTGTATCCAATATGGCACCAAAAGCTTTCTAAAAGTCTCAGCCGGGGTCTATCCTAATTAAGGGACTTGGCTTATATGTTAGTTACTTTTTTGTTGCTTTGACAAAAGCATCTTAAGGAAACGGATGGTTCTTTTGGCTACAATCTTCCATCTTCCAAAGCAGGGAAATGGTGGTGGCAGAAGCATGAGGTGACCTGCCACATTGTATCCACAGTTAGGACACATAGAGAGATGAAGTTGGAATACAGCTGTGTTTTTTTTTTTTACTCACTTTGGAACTCTAGCAGGTAGCATGGTGCTGCCCACGGTTGGAATGATTCTCCTCATCTCAATAATCCACTCGGGGAAACACCCCCCCACACACACAGATGTTTGTCTCCTAGGTGATTCTAGATCCTGTCCAGTTGGCAATCAGCATTGACCATCACAGTTAGTCTGCCTTTGTTTTTCATGGTCCTCGATGGTTCTGCAACATGCCTGAGTTTGGGAATCACCTAGAGACAGTTGTGACACAGCAGAACTAACTTTTCATTTGTCTAGTAAACAGGTGCTTTGTTGGGGCTGTCCACGTGGGATCCGGAGGCAGTGATGAAAATGTACTTAGTCAGCATGTTCTGTGTGCTACGATTTCTCTGAGGTTTTCACACTCACTGAATTCTCACTACAACTCCTCACGGGAGATGACACTGTTCTTTCTCCATTTAGCGGATGAGAACAGCTTCATGGGGTGTCTCCGCTAGAAGATGGCAGAGCCAGGCTACAGACCTAGGTGGAGGCAGGTCCCAGAGCCACTTACTGTCTGTCCTATCACTTCATCCTGAATCCCATAGTCTAGTGGAAAAAGATCCCATAGTCTAGTGGGAAAAAAACATTGTTGACATTCAAGAGGGCATGCCCCCAAGGAAGGTGCTCTATGGCTGGGGAGGCACAAGGGGTTCCTAGACAATAGAAAAGAACCCGATGGAGCTTGGGGGATGACGCCAGCAGAGGACCTGGGTTTGGTTCACAGCATCCACACTGTAGCTCACAACCATTTTTAACTCTAGTTCCGGGGGCTTCAAGGCACTCCTCTGGCCTCTGTGGGCACCAAACACATACATACAGGCAAAACACTCGTTCGTATACATAAAATTAAATAAATAAACCTAAAAGAAAGGAAGGAGGGAAGGAAAGGGAGAGGATGAAAATCTTCTGTAGGTGAGGCCCCGGAGCATTGGTCTCGCAGACAGGTAAGAGCTGAGCAGGTGTGGTGAGAATGGCATTCTCTGCAAAGAGAGTAGCTATACAAAGATGCAGTTATGTTCCCAGAAACGCCACGTGACAGTCACATAGATTCAGTGCAGATCTTGGTGACGTGGAGGGTGAAGGGCTAATTTGCACCCCCAAAGACATCGGAGGAGCCCTTGAAGTGTGGAGGACACAGTCTTGTCCCCAGGAAAACTACATGGGGTACAGCCTGACTGCACTGGAGCAGAGACTGAAGGCAGAGATCCAGGTCCCAGAGGCTGGCCGGACCCAACTGAGCAGTGACAGTAAGAGGCACTGCTGAGGCAGAATGAACAGGGCCTTCCCAGAAGAAAGTGGGCAGAGAGGTTTGGGGAAATCTTGGAAACAAGCAAGAGTATCTGGCAGGGGGAGCTAGTAGGTAGGTGTGCTGAGTCTGGGCTTGGAGCAAGTCCTGCTAGAAGTGAGAGGTCTCTGGAGAAGTCAAGCAGGATCTTTAAGGCTAGGGACAACACAGTGGCCTTCTGGCAGGTCCCAGTACCAGCTTTGGCCCCTACCAGGTAGCCTCATCGTCTATCACCATCATGCCCATTTTCTCGCCTATCTGCACCTTTGAGAGGTAAGTGGTGGGGAGGGCTGCCAGCCCTGCTGGCCTCTAAGAATCACAGTCAGGGGAGATGTGCCCACTCTCTGGGTGATTGATACCATAACCTACCAGGTACATGTTCAGGGCCCTATATGCCCACTTGAAGGTTGCCTACAGGCAGGTACCTCTCACCTCTGCCTCTGACAGGGGGGTGTCAAAATTGCATGTAACCATGTGGCAATTGAATATGCCAATGGTTGCACTCTGTGGACCTCAGTCCTGTGGATGCTGAGTGTTCCGTGTACACCTCTGTGTAAGATCTGGGGCCACTCCTTACCCATCTTTATGCTACAGAGTACCTCTGACTGCCCTCCCCCTTCACTGTCCAGCAGCAGCAATTCTGCAGAACTGGTGGGGTACATGAGGAAGATGAGGAAGTGGGAGGTGAGAGGATGGAGGGGGCCCCACCCTTGATGGAACCTGGAGGAGGGGCCTGGGACTAGTTTGCAATATCAGAGCTGCAGAGCTAGCCTGGCTACAAAAGATACACTATCAGATAATGGGTAAAGTGCCTTGTTACTTCATTGACAAAGACTGTCTCTGGGAGTGGCCCAGGGCTTTCAGAAGCCCATATCCTCCATAGGAGCTGATGATGACAAAGGGGAGCTGCCATGGGACAGAGAGGTGTCGCTGATGGGGGGCCCCATCCTAGACTCCAGGCCCAGCCCCTGGACAGAGACCCAAGATGTACATCCCAGGGACCACATGTGCCAGTGCCAGCATGTCCCCGATGGAGGTTTTTAAAATTAATTAACTAGTAGAATTTTAATTTATGGATATATATGTATATATAATTTGTACAATTATATACCTATATGTAATGTGTCATGATCATACTCACCCTCTTTACCCCAGCTGCCCCTGCTGACCCCCTTTCTCTTCCTAACTGGTTCCCCTCCTACTCTCCTTCCTTGTTGTGTGCAGATCTTGGGGTGGTAACCAGAGCTGTGTGCTCAGGATTGCAGTAGCTGTGTTATATCCAGAAGATAGCATTTTGCTGAACTCCTTGCCATCCTCCAGTTTTTGTAATCCTTCTGCTCCCTCTTCCATGATGTTACCTCGGCTTTGGTGAGGGTGATACAAAGAGATGAATCACAGTTTGGGCGCCGAGCCACAGAGACAAGGGCTGGAGCTGACTTCATCCTTTCTGAGGTGGTAAATTGCACTTCGCTTTGCCAGACTTTCTGTAAATTGGGATAATGCTACCATATCATCTATTCCTAGGCCACATTCACAGTCCTTTAAAAGACTCCATACATTCCCTGCAACGTGCCAGGCACTTTCTAGGTCCTGGGGATCCAAGAGCAAACACTGCGACCTAAAGTTCCATTCTAAGGGAAGTTTACATGGGGGTTGGTACACGAATAAATAAATAAATGTACCAGAAGGTGACAGGAACTGTAAAATTTGGAGCCAGGCAAGAAGCTGGGTGCCAGGTAGGGGTGTTTTACAGAATAACACTGTGACATGGGAACAGAGGTTCAAGGGACCCACAGTAGTCATGGGAAGGCCCTAGGTTGGCCTCCACAGGCTCATCTGAGGAGGAGAAGGCCCGTGTGGCTGAAGTACATTAGGAATAGAAGATTATAACATACAGTTGAGAATGGAGTGCCCTCTGAAGCTGCATTGTGTGTGGAATCTGAGCTTAATTTAAAGTGGTTCTAAGCCATCCTGGCTGCCGGTAAAGGATGGGTTGGAGGGGTCAGGATAGAGGCAGAAGAGCTAAGAAGAAGCTGGGGTGGTGGATGGAGGTGGTGGTTCAGGGGGCGGTGGGAATGGTGATGGAGCAGGGCAGCATCCCAAAGGCACCACCTGCATCTGGGAATGATGCCAGAACAAGGAGAAAGGCAGGGCTAGGATGGTGGGGATCGAAGGACATGTGTATGGTCAATTGCTTACCTAGCATGCAGCTTATGTATAGAACATGCTTGGTGAGTATCATCCATTCCTGGACATGGTGATGTTTATAGACACAGTCCAGTAAAGACACCAAGCCTGCAGTTCACCACGAGTGGCATTTGTAGGATCCACCATGACACAGATTCTGAGATCTGTTGGACCAGTTGACCTAGGAGTGGAGAACAGAAGCGTTTGCTGGAGAGGGCTGGGCCGTGAGGCTGCCTGACACGTGCAGTGTATGGGGCAGGGACTCTCCCAAGACTAATGGGCTTGTTAGGAGAGAGCAAGAACCAGAAACCGAGCCTCCCGACCCTGTGAAGTTCTCCCTGGTCTCAGGGAGGCTGTGTTCCCAGGGGTGAATTCCAACAGCACCTCTCCCCACATCCGCTGAGAACAGACTCAGCAGTCTGTTTCCTGACCCTGTGGACCCCTGGGGGACAATAGCAGAGACTGATGTTCTTGCTTCCTGAACCTTCCCAACACTGCACAGGTCATCTGGACTCTCTCCATCTTGACCTAACAATTCTGCAGAGTTTAGGCTTCAGAGTTGGCCTCAGCATCCCCAGGCCTTGCGGGTGTGGGGGAGGGTGGCTTGGCCATCAAGGGGCGGGCGCTACTGTTGCCTCATGCTCTTCTGTAGAAGAATCTGCATCCCCATGCCAAGGTAAACTGGCATGGCAACCTGAACCCAACTCCATGGCATTGATATATCTACATAAACTAGCTCTGACTACTGGTGGCCAAGCTGTACAGGATAGGACCACCTTTCCTGTTGGGAAACGGCCCAGGCGGAATCCCCCTTTCCCCCTTATCCAGCTAGGATATGAGTCAGGGAAGGTCCTGTTAGCACTTTTCCTCTTTCCTCCTCCCTGCCCAAATGGACCTGTGGCACAAGAGGAGAGGTGGGGCCGTCTGGAGCTGCCCCAACACCCTCTGGCCTGTAAGGTCACCCAAGAGCTAAAAGCCTGTAGGCAGTCCTCTACCAGCACCTAATGGTCCAGGTCTATGCTGGCGCCAGACTTAGGATACCGGCTTTATGTGTAATCTCAAAGCAGTCCAGGCCTCACTTAAAGCCAAGTTCAAATAAAAGGTAATCAGGTTCTTAAATGGCTTCCAGCAAAGGCCAGCTGTCTGCTCATTAAATATTAAGCAGTGAGAACCTGGGAATGTGCAATTGCAAGTTAGACTCTGAAGCAGATGCTGCCAACGGGTTGGCCTGGCACTCACAGTTGAGATCAACAGGGGACTACAAGTCACCATGCTGAGCTGCTGGAAACTGCCTGCATTTCCTGAGTGTCAGACTCTGAGTGACCTTACCAGACAAAGGCGTGTGGGGCGGCCCCAACGGGATGCCACAGGTAGGAAGATTCATCTGTCCAGTGTCAGCTACGTGGTTTTCATGCCTGCCAAGATTCCCACCCACACATGCTCCTAGGGACAGTGTGACCTGGGAAAACACCTGCAAGGGCTTATGGGACTGGGACTGCAATGGAGAAATGAAGAGGATTTAATGGACACAGTCATTCAACAAACATTTATTCAATGCCTCCTGTGTTGTAAATGCTGAAAACTCTGGGAAATTACAAATTAAGTATGTTAAACTCTTTCTCTGATGGCACTTAGAATTCACTGGGAGCTTTCACTCCACCAACGAATAAGGGTTTGCAGCATGTAAAGGTAGCAAAGGATCCATGCAAAGGAAGGACTGGACATGATGGTGGAGACTAGCAATGAGAGCCAACGGGACACCTGCGAAAGAACTCGGGGGAGTCCTGGGGATTTCAAAGGCCAGAAGTGACTGATCTCAGGATGATTCCTAAGATCCCTGGGAAGGGCACAGTCTGGTTCTTTTAGCTGCCATTAGAAGAAACAGGAAGGAAGGGAGGGAGGGAAGGAGGGAGAAAGGGAAGGAAGAAGGAGGAAGGAAGGAAGGAAGGAAGGAAGGAAGGAAGGTCAGTCTTGAGATGAGGCTCACTTTGTAGACTATTTGCCCAGCATGCAAAAGGCCCTGGGGTCTACCTCCAGCAACACATAAAAGCTGGCGTAGTGATGTACACCTATAAGCTCAGCTCCTGAGAGATGGAGGCAGGAGAATTAAAAGTTCAAGATCATTCTTGGCTATATGATGAGTTTGAAGTTAGCCTAAGCTATGTGAAACTGTCTTTTAATAAATGAAGAGAGAGAGAGGGAGAGGGAGAGGGAGAGGGAGAGAGAGAAATAGAGGGAGGGCGGGAAGGAGGAAGGGAGGGAGGGAGCCTCCCCCATTGGATGTTCTGGTGAATGTGTCTGCCTGCTTAGCTGGCCATCAACCCTCAGGTTGTGTTACTCAACCTCCACTATGGAAGGATACCTATCCCTTTATTGTCTATACACCTGCAGCAGCTAAACCACTGCAAACATATTCTGGGATCACAGGCACTCTCGTGTTGGCTGGAAGCAGAGTCTATGAATATGAGTCTGCAGACCGTTCAGGTGAGAAGCCATATTCAGTGAGAATGGACTCCAGTTTGCCAGCCCCAGGAATGTGCCAGCCAGCTGGAATGCTCTATAGCCCTGTGTGAGCCAGGGGCTGAGTCTGATGAGTTTTCAAAGTCACTCCCTGGCCATGCTTGTATTCAAAGAAAGACTGACTCAAGAAGGAAGAGAAGGGTGTAGCTGAAGATGCCACAAGCCCCAGAAGAGTTCTGTCCTTCAGTGTGGCTCTGGGAATCTAGAAGCACACTGGCTGAGGATGCTGCAATCCCAGGACCCTAAAATGCCTTAGCATTCATTCTATAGCCCTGTGGCACTAAAACTCTATGGCGATTAAGGAAAGGGAAACATCACAGCTTTCCCCTCCTCTTGGTAAAAGCCATACTTAAGGAACAGACCCTGACCCCATAGCACTCAAAGGCAAGCAAGCCTATTCTACTTCTAAATCCTTCCTCCTCCCTCCCTCCCCCCCCTTTCCTCCCTCTCTCTCCCTCCCTACCTCTCTATCTCTGTGTTTGGGCATCTGCACACATTAACCATCTGTATATAACCCAGTAATTAGCACCTTAGCTGGAGGGGAGGGGGTGCAGAACCCTCTTTCTGGCAGCCAGGTAACTCTAAGTTACAGGAGTACTCCAGCTCCCCCAGGGGAGCCCAGGAGAGGAAGAAGGCAGAGGTACACATAGCAAGATCCATCACGGAATGTCCCAGACATGCAGAAACACAACACAGAGAGGCAGGTATGCTGACACAGATACCACAGACAGCACCCATACATGTGTATAGTCCTCAAACATCTGCAAGCAACCACATACAGACACACGTCCCACAGTGACACGCAAAGACACACAGACAAGCCCAATACATTTGGATATTTGCAAATAGGCATGTGTCTACACTCAGGGGCAAACACATATAAATAAGTCCAGAGACACAGCTACATACCCAGTACCACACACACATACACACACACACACAGAGAGAGAGAGAGACAGACAGAGAGATAGAGAGACAGAGAGACAGAGAGACAGAGAGAACAGTTGCTCTGCACCATCTACAAGCCCTCTAGATAACAGACGGCAACATCGCCAGTCTTTTCAGCTGCAAGTGTTTATTCGCCGGTCATTATTTTACAACTACCATGTGCTCTGCCTGACTGGGCCCTTTGGAGACTCCAGGGTGTGACACAGTGGTGGGGAGGGGGACAATTTGAGTCAGACCCTAGAAACTCAGAAGCCGCTGGAACACAGGCAGGCCTAGGATTTCTCAGAGCTGTAAAAATGGCTCACACCTTTAAACCCAGTGCTCAGAAGCAGAGGCAAGAGGACCTCTGTGAGTTGGAGGCCAGCCTGGTCTACAGAGCGAGTTCTAGGACAGCCAAGGCTACACAGAGAAACCCTGTCTTGAGAAAGAAAAAAGAAACTGGATTTCCCCAACAGGTAGCATGCTCTTTATCAGAACAGCTTAGCCTTCCCCCATGTCCTGCTAAGGCCCGCCTTCTTTCTTCTTGTTGAACACAGCAGTGGGGGGGGATCTCAGGTGTGAAGGACAGTTGGGCCCGGAGATTAGGAGAGGAGAGCCTGGTAGAAACTAGAGGTGGAGATGGGAATAGTACCAAAAGGTCTGGTTTTAATGCCAGCTCAGTAGGGTGTCTGGGCAGTCTGTCTCCACCTGTGTCCTGCTAGCTCAGTGAGCACGTGGACACAGAAGAGCCCAGCCTTGACCCAGTGTGGTGAAGGCTCCTGCTGGTATTTTGAGGAGATTTTTCTGCTCCAAGGGCAATGGCATTGTATAGGCCTGGTGTGGCTGTTGTTCCTCAAAAGCCATCGCCGAAGCTCATGAGAAACTGACTCAAAGGAAGTGGTATATGTTGTCAGTCTTTCCCTCAGGCTCAAGCAGGCCCTGGAGAAGGGACCGATACTCCAACCACAGAACATGAATGACACCAGAGGGAGGCTTGGACTCCCTGTCTGTCAGACAAAAACACCTGTTCCTTGAGACAAGCCAGGTTGAACCAGGCCCTCAGGACCGAGCAGTCTCCGTGTCTCTGAGAAGCTGCCAGTGCCCTTACAGGGAGAGCTTCCTGCTTATTCCTCAACTCTTTCCATTGGCATCAGCTACTTCTCGAGGCCTTCCTATGTTCAGGCTCAACTCATGAACTTGGGAATAAAGGAAGAGTCTACATGGAGCCCCAGTGTGAGGGCAGAGTCATCTCAGCCCATAATACGGAACATTTATAAGCCACCAGGAAATGTTAGTGTATTCAAGAAAAAAAAAAAAAGAGGAACGAGGTGGTGGAAAGCAAGAGCACAGTTTTAGACAGCATGGCTGAGGCAACTTTCTTGAGGAGACTGCATTTGAGTAGAGCAGGAAGAGTTGGAACAAACAAGGAGCTAAATGAGAAAGGGTTGCCACAGCCAACAGTGAGTGCAAAGGCCCTGATGCTGGGGGACTCACTGAGGAGATTCAAGGGGCACTAAGAAGATGATTGTGACTGGAATGGTGTGAGGCATGCAGAGCATGGTGTAGCCTGTGTGAGGCATGCAGAGGCATGGCCTGTGTGAATCAGTCATGCAGAGGCATGGCGTAGCCTGTGTGAGGCCTTTTTGAGCTACCTAAGAATTTCTGATTTCATTTCAAAACTGACAGGGAAGGTTTCTGAGAGGTTTGAGTTAAGAAGAAGGAGAAAGGAGCCAG